GCAGAGGAAGAGGGCTGCCCTGGAGGCAGGGGTGGCGGGAGGGGCCTGACCACTGCAGGTGTTTCCTTCCAGCTGATGAGCCTGGACAGTCTCGGTTGGGCCGTCTTTCAGTCTCTGGCTACAGAGGCCTGAATGTCCAGGCTGGCTGGGGCCTGAACCTCCGGGTTCCTCGTATGGACACAAGGCCTGGTTCCTTGTCCAGTACCAATGACGGGGGTCTGGGCCCTCACAGATGCCTCTCTGCTTTGTAGGTGGACATTGACTTCTGTGAGCCGAGCCCCTGCCAGAACGGGGCCCACTGCTACAACCTGGAGGGCGACTATTACTGTGCATGTCCTGACAACGTGGATGGCAAGAACTGCTCAGAGCCCAGAGAGCCGTGCCCTGGGGGGGCCTGCAGGGGTGGGTGGGGCAGTTAGTGGGCGTGGCCTGCAGGGGTGGGAGCCTGGGGTGGAGGCCTGTGGGAGTGGGTGGGGTGATGTGTGGGCGGGGCCTGCAGGGGTGGGCGGGGGAGGGGTGAGTGGGACGGACAGAGTCTGGGTGAGGGGGCTGACCCCTCCTTGTCTGTCTGTGGCAGTGGTGGATGGCTGCGGGTTCGAGGCCGGGACCAGGATGGCCGGCACTGCCCCCGGCGTGTGTGGCCCCCATGGACACTGCGTCAGCCAGCCCGGGGGCAACTTCTCCTGTGTCTGTGACAGTGGCTTCACGGGCACCTACTGCCATGAGAGTGAGTGGGCATGGGCGTGGACGGTGGAGCGGGGCTGGGCTGGCCTAGAGACGCCCGCTCACCCCTGCCTCCTGCAGACATCGATGACTGCCTGGGCCAGCCGTGCCGCAACGGGGGCACATGCATCGACGAGGTGGACGCCTTCCGCTGCTTCTGCCCCAGCGGCTGGGAGGGCGAGCTCTGTGACACCAGTGAGTGGGCTGCCCTGCTCCCTCCGGGCCCCACGTGGCCTATGCCTCCCTGTGCTGAGCCACTGCCCCCCTCGCCCCTCAGCGGCCCCATTTAGTCACGGCTCCGCCTGGCCAGTAGGTGACTGGAAGTGGAGACCCCTCCAGTGTCTGGGGCCTGGCTCCCCCTCCCCGCTCCCCTCTGGCTCCCCTGGCCCAGCTCTGGTGCCTCTTCCCCTGGGAAACCCTCCCTGAGCGCCGGTGACCCCCCGCTGACCGGCGTCCTCGCCCCCAGATCCCAACGACTGCCTTCCCGATCCCTGCCACAGCCGCGGCCGCTGCTACGACCTGGTCAATGACTTCTACTGCGCGTGTGATGACGGCTGGAAGGGCAAGACCTGCCACTCGCGTGAGTGCCTGCTGGGTGCTGTTGCGGGGCTGCCCCCCGGCCGCAGCCACTGCTCCCAGGCAGCCCACTGAGCGGCCGTGTGCCTGCAGGTGAGTTCCAGTGTGACGCCTACACCTGCAGCAACGGCGGCACCTGCTATGACAGCGGGGACACCTTCCGCTGCGCCTGCCCGCCGGGTTGGAGGGGCAGCACCTGCAACATCGGTGAGGAGCCTGCGGGTCCGGGGCCCGCGCCCTCGGCCTGCGGCTGGGCCTGACCCCCGCTCCTGGCTCTGTCCGCCCCCATCTGGGTCAGGGTGTGGTGGGGGACCCTGGGTCTCCCAGGGCCAGGTAAAGAGGCCCTCTTCCTCTGCTTTCTTCTCCTCCCTTGCAGCCAAGAACAGCAGCTGCCTGCCCAACCCCTGCGTGAATGGGGGCACCTGCGTAGGCAGTGGGGACTCCTTCTCCTGCATCTGCCGTGATGGCTGGGAGGGCCGCACCTGCACGCACAGTGAGCCTCTGGGGTGGGCGCCTGGGGGGGGGTCTCTGTGAGGATGGGAGGCCATAGAGGGTGGGCTGGGGGCCCATTTCTCTCCACCAGCTCCCCAGTCCTGCCCCTCTTGCCTCTGCCCTTGCACTCATCCACCAAAGCCCCGCTGAACCCCAAGACACCTGTGACTTCCCTCAAACTCTGCAGCCTTGTCCCCCCTACCCCCCCATCAGTCTCCTGCAACCACTTGCTCTGCAGCCTGGGTTCCTGCTCATGCACCCCACCCTCCTACTACAGGCCTCTCTGGGATGGGCGCTCTGTGACCCTGCCCAGGGCCACCTCGCCCAAGAGCTGCCCCTGCCCCCTCAGCCTAGTCAGGGTGGGCTGGCGTGGACGGTGCAATGTCCGCCTGCCCCGCACGTCTGGGGCACCCAGACCTGGCGCAGAGAGGCCCAGGGCGGGTGGACGCCGTGCCCACCTTCTCTCTCTCCTCTGACGCAGATACCAACGACTGCAATCCGCTGCCTTGGTGAGTGGCAGTCCTGGAGGCGGGCTGACCCGGGGGGCGCGGCCTGCCCGCTGTGGGGCCCGCTGACTCCCGTCCTCTCCCCCGCAGCTACAACGGCGGCGTCTGCGTGGACGGCATCAACTGGTTCCGCTGCGAGTGTGCGCCGGGCTTTGCAGGCCCCGACTGCCGCATCAGTGAGGGCTTGTGGCGCCGGGCGGGCGGGGCTGTGCGCCTGGGGGCCCGGAGCCGGAGGTCACCGATGTCCACACACCTTGAGGATGGGTGGCGTGGCCATGGCCACTTCCTGCCTCACTCTAAGCCACGGTTTCCAGTCTGTCCCTTGCCAGCAGTGCTCCCGCAGCTGGGGGCCACCCTGTAAGGGGGCAGAGCTGAGTTTGGGCTGGGATGTTTGTTCCCAGAAGCCCCTGCCCGTCCTGTTCCAGAGGCGCACAGAGGGTGGAGGGTGAGGGGTGCTCATTGAAGCCTCGGCCTGGTGACAGTGACAGCGCCAGGCCAACCGCAGAGGCCCTGTGGGGTGAGCCGCGGCCCGAGCTGGCCGGGGGCTGCTCCTCCCACTGGCGTGGGCCTCCCCTGCTACCTCAAGCCGCCTCCTGGGCCCCACGTGTGGGCGCTGGCCTCCCGCTGCCTGCTGAGCCGGCCGCTTTCCCTGCAGACGTTGACGAGTGCCAGTCCTCCCCCTGTGCCTATGGGGCCACGTGCGTGGACGAGATCAACGGTTACCGCTGCAGCTGTCCGCCCGGCCGGGCTGGCCCACGGTGCCAGGAGGGTAGGTGGGGGTGCGCCAGGAGCCAGGCATAGCTTTAAGGCCCTGCGCCCACACTGAGCCCTCCTCTTGTCCGCACAGTGGTCGTGCTGGGGAGGCCCTGCTGGTCGCAGGGTGTGCCCTTCCCTCCTGGGGGCTCCTGGGTGGAGGACTGCAATAGCTGCCGCTGCCTGGATGGCCGCCGGGACTGCAGCAAGGTGCCGAGGGCTCCTGCCCAGCCAAGCCTTGTCTCCCCCCACTCCCCTGCCCGGGTCTGGTGTCCCAGTGCCTCTGGCCTCGGGTGTCCTGCCATACGTCCATAGGCATGTCGCTCGCCCCGGGAGGGCACTTGGGGTGGGGGACGGGAGAGCTGAGTCCGCCTCCTCTGTCGGGCATCCTGGGAGGAGGGCCCTTGGACACGCCAGGCCCCTCCATTGGGGCACTTGGGGAAATTGAGACTCGACCTTGCTCAGGCTCCAGAAACCCTCAAGCTGGACCCCACTTGGCCCCGCCCTTCCTTGGGGCCACCTCTGCTCTGGGTGGGGGGTCCTTCCTGGTGCTGAGTTCGTCCTGGGAGCCCTGGGACTCGCTGACCCTGACCGTGTCTCTCTCCCCCACGTGGTGCCGCGTGTCTCATGTGCCGTGCTGCCCTCTGTGCGCGTGCCCGGCCCAGGTGTGGTGCGGGCGGAAGCCTTGCCTGCTGGCT